GTCTTCTTCGTCAATGTTTAATAAACTTTCATTTTCTCTAAAATTAAAAATACTTTTCAATATTTTCTTGTTAATTCATATATATTGTTCAATATTGTGGTTTCCGAATGAAATTCATAAATAAATCGCGATAGTTATAAGGTTATAAACATTCATGTTTATTAATGTTTCTATAATGAGAGAAGACTTAAGTGGAAGTCTTCTACGTTCGTTTTTGTAAAATTTATATTTTCAATAGTGTTAAATAACTTCAAGATATTTTTTTAACTTTCAAAAGTGTTAAGTAATTTCAAGAATGACAACTCATGTGATTTAATTTGTCTTCTTAGATCATATATATTTTTTAACTTTCATGATATTAAATTTCAATTTTCATTTAAATTTAAGTTTTCCATTCAAATTTTTATTTCCCGCTTAATTTGCGTTCAATCTTTTGCGAAAAGGCTTCTGCGAGAAGACTTCTAGACAAGTCTTATGTGAGAAGACTTAAATGGTTTTCTGATTATAATTTTAAGGCTTTTCTTAAGAAGTCTTCTATTATTGATAGTCTTAAAGAAATACTTCTATAATCTTCTAGTGAGACTATGCTTTGTTTTTTTTTTTTTAATTTGACTAAATTTTCTTGAGAAGTATTCTCCCTCAGTTTTAGTATCTTGGTTAAATAGTTCCTTGCTATGTTGTTTCAATACTTCAATAATACTAAGTAATTTTGGCAAAATATTATATATTGTAGACCTGAACATATTTAACAAATGATTTTCAGTCACATCTCTTCTACAAAAGAAATTACAACTAAAAGAGTACACATCTCAATCATAAAGCAGATTAAAAACAAAATTATTACACATGGAACTTGAGATCATTCCTCTACATAGATAAGCTTAGAATTCATTTGGAATAAATATTTTCGAGAAGACTTCCCAAGAAGTATTTTGAGAAGTTTTCTGTGAAGTTTTCCAAAGTCTGATTAAAATTTGAAAAACATGCATCTCCAAAAAATTTCAGATTGCATTAAAATAGAGAAAAATTTCAAAAATAATTTTTTATGGTTAAATAATAATAAAATAGTCACATTGTACTGAATCTATATTTTTTTAAAAAAAATCTATCATATAAACACACAAAAAAATAAATATCCAAAATTAATAGATCTATCTTTATAGGAGTGAAAGATGAGAAACATGTTGTGAAAAACTTAAAAAAACAATAGAAATCAGTGAGAAAAACGTAAGAAAAAATAGAAATTGATATAAAATTTGGCTTTTTCAAGTTCAAAGAGATTAGAGAGAATTTGGAGTGTTTTAGAGTCAGAAACATTACATTTTTGTTGTAGCCATTTGAAAGGAAGAGAAAAATGTGTAAATATTCTTTATATAAGGAGACAAAGTCCAATTAGGTGAAATATGTTTGATTTAGAAAGTTTTCTGAGAAATTTTCCAAAGTTTGACTCAGATCTGAAAAAAAACATGCATATACAAAAACGTTCAAATGTCATCAAAACAGAAAAAAATTCAAAATTATTTTTTATGTTTAGCTAATAAATAAAACAGTCACATTTTATTGAATCTACAACTTATTCGAATCTAACATATAAAACTCACAAAAATACATATCCAAAATTCATAGACCTACCTTATAATGATTGAAAGATGAAAATCATGTAATAAAAAACTTGAAAAAACAAAATAAATTAGTAAGAAACACATAAGAAAAGAATGAGGAAATGTTTGGTGTTATCAAGTTCAAATAGTTTAGAGAGATAAGAAACTTGTAAAAACAAAATAAATTAGTAAGAAACACATAAGAAAAGAATGAGGAAATGTTTGGTGTTATCAAGTTCAAATAGTTTAGAGAGATATTAGAGAATTTTAGAATGAGAAACATTACATTTTTGTTGCCTTCATTTTGAGAGGAAGAAAGGGATTGTGTAAATTTTTTCTATATAAGAAGACAAAAATTCTAATCAGGTTAAATATTTACGGTACATAAGACTTTTATGTAAGTCTTATAATAAAAGGCTTACATGAACGTCTTCTAATAGAAGGTTTACGTGAAAGTCTTCCAAGAAGTATACTAAACCCTAAATTGTATTCGTACATAAGACTTGCATTGAAGTTTTCTAGTGTATTATTTGTTAGAATTTTTTTCAATAAATTATCTAAACCCTAAAATAAAGTAACTAACTAAATAGAAACAAACACTTCATTAAACCTAAAATCAACTTTTAAAGTGATATACATAAAACTAAACACATATATGTCAATTTTCATTTTTAAAGTTACGATTCCAAATCTAACTCTAAGAATACAAGCAAGACTATAACATATGTTACCAAACTTTTAACCAAAGAATATCATGACTTAATCTACATTCACTCACCTATGTTAAAAACAATTTAATTTTAGTAACCCTAAATTTACGTTATTTAATAATGTATTTTTTCTCTATCAAAATATTTTTTTGTAAAATTTATAAATTATTTTTAAAATCTAACACATGAGAAGACTTCCCTTAGAAAACTTTCTTGGAAGACTTAATAATTTAGGCGAGAAACCTAAATGCTATTAAAATTAGTGCATTATATCGTAGAAGATTTCTTGGAAAGTCTTGCAAACTCCTAATATCAAATAATTAATTAAATCTCAAACAAAAACTTTATCAAAATTAAAATCAACTTATAAAGTGTTTAATATACACCAATCTAAATACATATATGTCAATTTTTTAAAAAATGTTAAGATTCCAAAATCTGACTCTAAAAATATAAACATTATTATAACATAGGTTAGCTTACCCTAAACTAAAAACTATCATGATTCAATCTACTTTCACTCATCTATATTGAAAAAAATAATTTAAATAAATCTTAACGTACGTCATTTACAAATGTTTATAATTATATAATTTTAATTTTTTTCCTCTTCAAAATATTTTCTTATAAAATTTCAAAATTATTGTAAAATTTTACAGTATGAGAAGACTTATACAGAAGTCTTCTCAAAGAAGACTTCCCTAGAAATCTTCTCACGCGCATGGTTATATTGGTAAAAGTTGATACTGTTTTTTTGGTTAGTCATAAGATGTTTGGTTGTAATTTTACTAATCTTGTTGATTACATTTGTATTTAATTGAAATTGAAGTACATATTTGAATTTAAAATCAAGTTTTAGGTTATATTTGGTAAATAATGTTTAATATGTAAGGATTAAAACAAATGAATCAGATTGAAAAAAAGAAGCCCTAATTAGCTTTTGTAGGAGTGTGTTGAGAAAAACAAATTTGAACAAAACACAAAAGTATTTTCTAGACTAACGGACTACAAATATAAACATTTTGAAATATGCACTTTTCTTCAGTTTTTGTTAAATAAAGATGCCCTAAGCGAAGGCCTCTTTTTCCTTCAGCAGGCACGGCACTGAAGATGCATACAGTGATCTCGTACAGCTGGTGGTTTGGTTTGTATTGATACAAAGCGTTGCGTTTAAAGAGACCACATGGCGTTTGCGGTATCGTTTGCACATAAATGTGGTTATCGACATAGACATCTTACCATCTAAAATTTTTGCCAAGAGGCTCTGGTGGCATCTTTTGTCCAAACATTACACCTTTAATTTCTCTTCTTTTTCTTATATCTACTTTTTTCTTCTTTAGTTTTCAGCATAAACATATGTGTACATGATTCAAAATATTATATATATATGTGTGTGTGTGTGTATATATATATACATATGTACATAATTCATTTCGAGGAGTAATGTGTTTAGTTTTGTTTCAAAAATGTATATTTAAACTGGATTAAAAATCACACATGAAGGTTAATACATTTTTAGTGACATCATATATAACACTATATAATATCAATTATACAGGACTGCAGTTACCTGTCTTATAACATTACAAAACTAAATATGTATATATATATACATTTTTTTTTATCAACACTAAATATGTATATTATATGGTTTCACAAATGAAAACAATAAAAGCATGTATATGTTTGTATGTGTGTATATACAAATGAGTAGTTTTCCGATTTTCTGGCAGGGGGCAGATGGAATCTTTTCCATTAGAAGAAGTCATGGGTGGGTGACGTCAAAAATGCTCTATTAAGATTATTTATAAATAAATGAGATTTTCTTGGGGGAAAGGTGTGGATAACAAAGGAACTTGTGTCGCATCATATCAATATTGCTTTTTATCGACTTCGCTACTAGTCATTACTTATTTACGGGTGGAGGATTGTTTATTGTCTTAATCATACTAAATATAATATTGATTAATATTTTAATACAGTATCAGTATTGCTTTTGAATTCTACCATGGGTAGGTGGATTCAATCAAACAGAGCTATAAATTCCAAAGTGTTACTACCTTTTGGTAGTTCAAGAATATTTTTTTCTTATGATAAAAATACAAACTAAACTTATCTAACATCTCAAATATTTGATTCATCACATTATATATTCATTCATACACGCAAAATAATATTAGAGATCAGTTTTACAAAAGTGTTTTATTATGATTAAAGTAATAAAACTAACTTTCATTTGTATTTGAAAATATTATAATCCTAATGGTAACGAATTCAAATGGAAAAAATAAAATAAAAATATAAGTGCTTTTAAACCAAAAAATATAAATATAAACACGTAGTGCTCTAAGAAGGGATATATTTTTTTTTTTAAAAAAGATAATGATAAGTGGGAACACATTACATATTCAGACGAATAATCTCTTATCTAATAAAACCGGGAGAATTTAACATTCGCCAATCAAATCACACCACGTAATGAAACGAGTGATAACACAAAACGTGATTCTTGACCGACGGCTTATCAGCCATCTATTATCTGACGTGGTATAGTCAACAAGATAAATATTGTAGACTGTCAAAACTGAAGAAGAAAGTATCCGGTTTGGTGAACCGGAGACCATTAACCGGAACTTGAATATAGAAAACTGAAAACAAAAGAATCAGTCAAGGAACATTCACCACCATCTTATACATGAAGCCCATCAATCACTGATGATGGATCGGCTTGTAAGTACTTTAGTTCGCTCATGTCATGCTGTACTCTTCCCGTGATCTCCAAACACAACCAGTTCCTGTTTTTCTTGTTGTCTCTCTTAGAGGAGGAAATACCAATGTTTGTCTTCTTCTCGGTTGGTCCAAAATCTAAGAAGATTGGAATGAGTTTTGCAGTTGGATTCGATTTTATTCTGTTCACGGTTCTAGTAGTCTCGGGTGGTCCCAGGATCCTGTTCCCTGATTCTAGTTCTGATATATCATCTTCGTTCAATAGTACCTGTATGTCAAACCATGAATCAAGATTCAAGACTACTCTGATTGAATCATTTTATCAATGCTGGACAGGCAAATGACTAGAATATATGGATGCTGTCATAGTAACATGGCAGTGAAGATAACTCAAAACTTCATGAACATTTCAATACTGTGGCCTCTGTTTGACTTATCTCTATGTCTACAATGTTTCTCAAAAGAGTAGTAAACATGGTACTTCTAAGAATTACCTTATGGCCGACTAAATCAATGTCATAACCACTTTGCTCTTTTTGGCTCGTTCAGCTTCTTCAATTTCCTCTCGCTTCTTCCTCAATAGCTCTTTCTCCTGAGTGTAAAACAACCAACAAATACTAAGTCAATAAGAGAAACAAACACCGAGAATCGATTACCAATGGAGATTATACATACCTCTTGAGAAACCCATTTACTATCCTCACTTTCATAGTAATCACTCTGGTCATCAATAACCGTTGTACGTGCGGCAAAGTTTCTATCATACCTTACAAGCCTTTTGGCATACAGCTTCAACATCAGCATTAGATATTGGAGGAAACCCTTCCTCTAGGCCAGCGTATGTACTTTCTTCTTTAAGCACAAGTGCTCTGCAGTAACTGCAAGGCTCTTCTTCTTCTTGCTCACACACTATTTTCCCACAGGACAAGCAGTTGCTCACTAATATATGCCTACGAACTTGGCAAGCACACGGTTTCCCTTGCTGAAACACTATAGATCCTTTAGCTGCTTCTGCCATAGAAACCACTTTCCCCCCTTTATTCTTCTTAGGGTTAACTTTAGGGGCGGCCGGAGCTGTTGCTTTCACAGTTCCAGCTTGCTGATTAGAAGATGTTCCCTCCTCTTTAGGTGTTTTCAGCGGCTTCTTGGTTCCACCATACTCAACTTTTAGTTTAACATACATGTGCAGTTCAAGAGCTGAAGTGTTTGCCACATGACTGGATGGTTCTTTGTAACCTCTTCTCTGTAGATATTCCGCAATTATGCTTTTGCCTTCTTTTCCAATAATATTCTGGGATAAAATCATCAATACATAACATATGTTCTCAGAGTCCAATTTTGGCGATACCAGAACTCTCCTTAAGCCACAAGTACTACATTCCCATCAAAGTACTCAATGTTTGCAGTAAGAAAGGGTAGCTTATACACTCTTCTCCAATAATGCTTTAGTATAGTAAAATTATTTCAAGAACGCTAGCTAGCGAGCTTGTCCTAGTAGCTGCAAGAAATGTACAATTCAAAAGATTTAAACAATATTTAGTACATACACATTTAAGGATCAGTAACACGAACAGTCTCGTTGAGACTTAGTGACATTGACTCTTGAAGAGAGCTTCAAGAGATTCTTTTGCTGTGTATCTTAACACAAGAGCTACAATCGTTTGAACTCTTAACAAGGGATCATTTTAGGTTTCATCGAATAAACTGAACAACATTACCTACCTATACGTACAAAACTACTTCTTCTTTTTCTAGAAACAGCCTATTCAATTTTAGAGAAAGAGAGAGAGAAGGATCACGTCGAGATACTCCTTGGCATCGACAGGCTGAGCGAGATCGCAATAGGAGACTAGACCGAAGAGATTACATCGCGATCGAAATTCAAAACGGTCTCCGGTTTCCCGCAGAGATCAAGAAGCGCTTCCTCTAGCCACCGCCGTGCCCATCTTCTTCTTCTCCAATTCGATCAAAATATGATTTTATTAAATGTCTCGCTAACATTAGGCACATTGTTTCAATTTTATCGGCCCAAACTTTAGGTTGGAGGCTAGCCTAATTACTACTTTAAATATCAAAATGAAGAATTTCAATGTTACCATACTACTATCAAACTACCCTTAAATATAACTATTTTTTATAAATACACTACAAGAAACACACGGTATATTCCGACGGAGGTTCCGACGGACATAAATGTCGTCGGACGTTTTTGACGGTTTTCCGACGGAATCCCGACGAAAACAAAAAATTCAATTTCGTCGGAATATTCCGACGAATCGTGCTTCGTCAGAATATACTGACCAACTTCCGACGACTTTCCGATCAATAATATAACCGTTAAAATCGTCAGAAACTCGTCGGAATATTCCGACGAATTCCCGACGACATTCTGATAAATTATATAACCGTTGTATTCGTCGGAATATCATCAGTAAATTCAACCGAATTTCCGAAGAAACTTTTGACCGTTGCATTTGATCGTTGAGGTAACCGAATTCCGACGGAATTCCGACGGATATAACCGTTAGGGCGTCAGAATTCCGTCGGAATGTCTTCGGATTGCCGTAAGCAGTTTCCTATAAATACAACCTCTCCTCATTCAACTCATTCACTCCTCACTCTCTCTTTACTCTTTCTAAGCACAACAATTTCTTGATATCATGCCTTCAAGAGTTTATCATCGTTCGTGGATGGATAAACCTCATATGGATCTCAACACCAATTTACTTACGGAAGAATACGTTCAAGGGATTGGAGAATTCATGAAGCTTGTTCAGCAACAACCGGATGCAAAAACCCGTATGTTAAGATGTCCCTGCTCTACTTGCAATAATAATAGGATTATAAAAGAATTTGATGTTTGGACTCATTTGTATATGAGGGGGTTTTCACGTAATTATAAAGTTTGGTATCTTCATGGGGAAACTGGTTTTGAATATGGTAGTACTAGCGAACCTCAGCCTGATATTAGGTTAGAAGAACCTAGAACGGATATAGATTATGGTGTAGGTACTGTCCAGATGGTACATGATCATTATAGAGGGGAAGAAGAACCAAACCCCGAATCTAGGAGATTTTTAACATGTTGGATGCAGGAAAACAACCTTTGTATAAAGGTTGTAGAGATGGTCATTCACCCTTATCTTCTGCAACTAGATTGATGGGTATCAAGACAGACTATAATTTGGCTGAAGAATGTGTGGATGCGATTACTGATTTTGTCAAAGGTATCCTACCTGAGGATAATCTTGCACCGAGTTCATACTACGAGGTTCAGAAACTTGTTGCGGGTCTTCAACTACCGTACAAAGGGATAGATGTATGTATTGACAACTGCATGATCTACTGGGGATCGGATAAGGAACGTGATAAATGCAAATTTTGTAGGAAACCTCGTTATCAGGAGATGAGGGGAAGAGTTCCAATCGCGTTCAAAAGGATGTGGTATTTGCCTCTAACGGAAAGATTGAAGAGGTTGGAGCGCACAGCAAAAGCAATGAGATGGCATGCAGAGCATTCCACAAATGGTGAGATTAGACATCCTTCAGATGTGAAGGCTTGGAAACATTTCCAGTCAACGTATCAAGAATATGTGGAAGAGAGAAGAAATGTTTATCTTGGATTATGTACTGATGGTTTCAGCCCATTTGGAAAGAATGGAAGATGTGGGAACCGAAATCCACCTACTGTCAATAAATCGTAAAAAAGGGAACCTTCGGGAAAACCCTAAGTTTCCAGAGGAACCGGCTATCTGCAGAACCGCACAACGAAGATTAAGAAAACGATAAACTTAGGATTTTTAAAAGAATAAACGAAATTAAGAGCAAATAGGTTCTTATTCCGAATCCACGTAGAACTGGTACAAAAAGAGTAGCCGAAATGCTTAAGAACGAAAAACCCTAATTGAGACGCAGCTCGCTAAAGAAAAACGAAAATATTCCTAAATGCTAATTTTGGTGGTGAGAGCTCTGAAAATCGTGTCCCAGCTTCTGCCCTATGCCTCCTCCTTATATACTCCTCTTTAGGCGGTTTTGATCTTCCCATTTCGCCCGAAACCGAATATATCGGGAACTTTCCATATCTGTCGATCCTTCATTTTCTTCCGCAGAAATCTTCTATTTATCTTCAAACTTGCCTTTTATCTTCCGTCTGCGAGTAAACCGTCAAAACGTTATCGTATCTTCGGGTTTGATTTCGTTAATGTCGGGAGATGGGTTTTTATCGTGTTTTAGGACCTTTCGGGCCGTTTTACGATAAAAACCGTTTTTCAACTTTAACGAGACCGGTTCCTGATCCGATGCCGTTTATTACGATTTTCTCGACGTTTTTTATTAAAAACGCGTTTTTATGATCTTAACGAAAAATCTCGGATAAATCGTATAGTTTAGGCGATGTTCGGTGTCTTGCTTAACTGTTACCGTTTTATACGATTTCTTCGAGTTCTTTTCGGGAAAGCAGAGTTTTACGGTTTTTATCGTAGAATTCAGACGATAAGTCGGATCGAGACGAAACGAGAGACATTTCGGCTGTGGTTCAGAATGTGACCGTGTCGAAGGACGTAAGGTTTTTAATCGGGGCTGCGGGAGATCTGGGAGGTCTCTAGTTCGCCTGCTGGCGAACTAAGCCGGGCTGGCTTAGTTCGCCAGCAGGCGAACTAGTTGGGAGCCTCTAGTTCGTCTGCTGGCGAACTAGTCGGGGAGGCTCTAGTTCGCGTTTTGCGGCTTTTTCGGTTTTCGCGGCTTTGTAAAATGATTTCTCGAGTTTTATAAAACGATCTTCAAATTTTATAAAACGATCTTCGAGTTTTATAAAACGATCTTCGAGTTTTATAAAACGATCTTCGAGTTTTATAAAATGGCTTCTCGAGTTTTATAAAACGATCTTCGAGTTTTATAAAACGGCTTCTCTGGTTTTATAAAACGATCTTCGAGTTTTATAAAACGGCGTCTCGAGTTTTATAAAACGATCTTCGAGTTTTATAAAACGATCTTTGAGTTCTATAAAACGGCTTTTCGAGTTTTATAAAACGATCTTCGAGTTTTAGAAAACAATCTTCGAGTTTTATAAAACGTCTTATAGTTTTATAAAACGGCTTCTCGGGTTTTATAAAACGATCTTCGAGTTTTATAAAACGGCTTCTCGAGTTTTATAAAACGATCTTCGAGTTTTATAAAACGTCTTATAGTTGTATAAAACGACTTCCTGGGTTTTATAAAACTATTCCTTTTGTATTTTTGCAGGGAGTTTTGGCTATTGATTCCGTCGTACCGATTTTTACCCCAACAGTTAGCCCCCCAGCTCGTAAGAATCGTGGGGTTCTTGCGAGTTGATTGAGCTTGTTCGGCGAGTTTGGTAGAATTAGGCGGAACTTTAATGGCCAAAAGTCCAAGGGCGAATAGAAAAATTCTTCCCTATAAGTATATGGAATGAGTCTCTCAAGTTATTCACTCATTTTCCATAACTTGTCTAAGTCTCAAGAAGTTCTCTCTCTACTTTTTCCTTTTGGATCCCTTCTCGTCCGATATGTCTTCCGAGTCGAGAGTTTCAGATCTTGCTCATGCATCTATCTTCGATCCGAGCGATCTTGATACTTCGGGCGATTGTCCTCTTCCCAGCCCGATCTTTCAACGTTCTTTCTCGACCGAGGAGAATTTTTCGGAATATTGTTTAGCCTTGAAGGCCGCGAAGGTGCCGCCTTCGAGTTTTTGGGTTCCGAAGAAGGATAAACCTCGGAGGAGGGCAGCTGGTCCTAGTGCGAGCACTGCCAGTTCCCTCAGAGATATGAGGAATCTCCGTGAAATTCCTTAGTCAGTTCAGTTTTGCCTTCCCGTCCCAGGCCAGGATGTCAAGAATTCGCCCCCGGGTTATTTTTCATGCTACGAAGCCTTTCTGTTGAACTGTCAGCTATGGTTCCCTATTCCTCGAGCCATTGTCGAGTTCTTGGATAAGTTCGGTGTACCGTTCGGCCAACTACGTCCCGGCGGGTCACAACACCTTGTCGGGATTTTGGTGTTAGGCTATGAGCGCGGGATGTCTCTTAATGCGGACTATCTTTTGGCTATGTTGACCTTCAAGGGAAGAAATGACGGCTTTTATTTAGCTCCTCGGCGGGACATGACGGTCGTCGGTGGACTTGCCTCGAATGAGCATGGTTGGATCGAGCGATTCTTCTATGTCAAAATC